AGCAGCATTATTCACAATAACCAAATTATGGAAGCAGCCCAAATGTTCATTGATTGATGAAATGGATAAAGACAATGTGGTATATATATACAATGGAATATTATTCAGTCATAAAAAAGAATGAAATCTTACCATTTGCAATGACATGGATAGAGTTAGATAGTTTTATGCTAAGTGGAATAAGTCAGACAAAGACAAATACCATATAATTCATTCATGTGGAATTTAAGAAACCAAGCAAAGAGGAAAAAAGAAAAAGAGACAAACCAAGAAATAGACTTAAATACAGAGAACTGATGGTTACTGGGGGTAAGGGGGGGTTGGAGGATGGGTTAAATAGGTGATGGGGATTAAACAGTGCACTTGTGATGAGCACCGGGTGATGTATGAAATTTTTGAATCATTATACTGTACACCTGAAACTAATACAACATGATATGTTAACTAACTAGAATTAAAATAAAAACTTTAAAAAAAGAATGCCTGCTGTCACTACTTTAGTTCATACTGTACTGGAGATCTAAGATAGGGCAATAGGAAGAAGAAATTAAAGCTATAAGAATTTAAAATGATTCACAGATAGCCTGCCCATAGAAAAAAATCCAAAGAAATCTAAAAACTATTAGCATTAATGAGAAAGCTTGGCAGCCTTGCTGGATATAAGGTCAATGTATAAAAGTTAAGTTCATTTTAAAACATGAGCAACAATAAAAATATATATATATAATATTTTAACATAGTAACAAAACTAAGATGCCTAGGAATTATTCTAACGGAAGATATGCATGGCCTTTATGAAGAAAATTATAAAACATACCAAAGGAAAATTTAAAACCTAAATAAATGGAGAGATGAACTACAGAATAAAAAATTTACAAATAGAAAAATTTACAAAACTGATATAGAGTATAAGTAAAATTTCAATCAAAAGCCAATCACTTTTTTTGTTGTTTTCTGGTGGAAATTGACAAGTTGGCTCTAAACTATTCAGATGGCCAATGGGCAAAGAAGAAATTCTGAAGAACATAAAACAAGGTGTAGGGGACTTGCCCTAACAGATATCCTGTTCTTTTTTTTTTTTTAATGTTTATTTATTTATTTTGAGAGAGAGGGAGAGTGTACGTGAGTAGGGGAGGGACAGAGAGAGAGAGAGAGAGAGAGAGAGAGAGAGAGAATCCCAAGCAGACTCCATGCTCAGCATAGAGCCAGACATGGGGCTCCATCCCACGAATTGTAAGATCACCACTTGAGCTGAAATCAAGAGTCAGACGCTTAGCTGACTGAGCCATGCAGGTGCTCCAGATATCCCATCTTATAATAAAGTATTTTAATTAAGAAAGTGTGGTACTGGCATAAAGAAACAGAGATCAATGAAATGGAATAGAGCTCAAAATCAGACCCATAAATATACTATAATCCGATACATTAAGATGCTTAGTCAGTTAAGCATTTGATTCTTGATTTTGACTCAAGTCATGTAACATTCTGAACAATGATCAAAGAGAGCTCATTTCTTCAATAACTCTAGGACATTTGGTTTTCCACTAAGGCACAGAAATTAAATTCTTACTTCAATCTCAAAAATCAATTTCAATTGATTCAAGCCCTAAATATGAAAGGAAAATCTTTAGAAGACAATTTGAGAATATCTATATGATTTTAGAATACAAAGTTTACTTAAAACAAAATACCAAAATCAAAAATATAAACTACAAGCATATATATAAAAGACAACCTTCCCCAAAATGAGCAAAAGACTTGAGCAGGCACCTCACAAAAGTGGAAATCCAAATCCAAAAGATGCCCAATTTATTTTGTAATCAAAGAAATTCAGATGTCAAGTATAGCAGATAATATTTCACACTCATCAAATTGGCAAAAAAATTTTTAATTGGTCAATTTTGAGTATAGAGCAGTGAGTACTCTCACACACAACTATGAGAAATGTAAATTAATACAAGCACTTTGGAAAGTAAATAGCATTATTTAGTAAATTCCTGGCTATGTTCTCTATACAAACTCCAGCATTTGTACACCAATAGTCACGTATAAGGTTCACAGCAGTTAACATTTATAATAGCACAAAATGAAAACAACTCAAATGACCTTCAATGGATAAATTATGGTTTACGTGGTGGAATACATTACATTTGAGCAGACAAAAATTCAGGAAACCATAGCTACTAAAATTAACACAGATAAATCTCAGGAATATAATTTTGAGTTTAAAAAAAGTCAGAATTACATGCATAATGTATTTCCACATGTAAAAAGTTGAAAACACAAAAATATAATATTTTGTTTAGGAGTATATGGTATACTAAAGAAAAGGCAAGAATGGGGCGCCTGGGTGGCTTAGTCAGTTAAGTGCCCAATTCTTGATTTCGACTCAAGTCATGATCTCACAGTTGTGAAATCAAGCCCTGAATAGTGCTCAAGCTGGGCATGGAGCCTGCTTAAAATTCTCTCTCTCGCTCTCCCTCTGCCCCTCTCCCATGCTCTGTCTCAATCTCTCTCTCTCTTTCAAAAAAAAAAAAGAAAAGAAAAAGAAAGAAAGAAAATGCAAGAAAAGATAACAAAATTGTAGAAAAATGGTTTCTCCAGTGAGGGTTGGGGATGGATCATAGGTGGAGAATAGTATACCATTAGGCAGGGGCCCTCATGAGTCTATAATAACATTGACAATTTTCTATTTCTTTTTTTTTTTTTAAGATTTTATTTTTTTTTTACTGAGCCAGTCAGGTGCCCCAACAATTTTCTATTTCTTAAGCTAAGAAGTATGTACCTGGGTTTTTGTTCTATTAATATTTAAGCTATATACATATATTAATATACATTCCTGTGTGTGATTTATTTAATAATAATTAATAAATAAAATTTAACCATATATTCCTTGAAACTACAGTTCCACATCAAATATTTTTCTTAAAAAACTGAACAAGGACATAAAAGATTGGAGAGAGGTAGCGGGGGGCGGGGTGGTGAGTTGGGGAGTGGTAGTGACAAGAGATGTTTACAATGTCCCTAATTTTCTTTTGAACTTTAGTCCTCCATTTTACCTTAATGCTTCCTATGTCTATCTAAAAATCCTTCCTTCTTTTTTTAAGTTTTTATTTATTTAATTTAAGAGAGATGGAGACAGTGTGAGCAGGGGAGGGACAGAGAGAGAGAGGGAGAGAATCCTAAGCAGGTTCCTCACTGCTAGCACAGAGCCTGATGTGGGGCTCAAACCCACAAAACCAAGAGATCATGACCCCAGCCAAAACCAATAGCTGGAAGCTTAACAGACTGAGCCACCCAGGTGCCCCTAAAAATCCTTCCTATGCCACAACCCTAAACTCTTTAGTCTCTTCTCTCTGAAATGGTTTCTAGCTTCTGACCTGTGTTTTTGTTGTTTTTAATTTGTTTTTATTTCTATTTCTATTTTTTATTTTTTGAGAGTCAGAGACAGAGCACAAGTGGGGTTGGGGCAGAGAGAGAGAGACAGAATCCGAAGCAGGCTCCAGGTTCTGAGCTGTCAGCACAGAGCCCAAGGCGGGGCTTGAACTCCCTGGCTGTGAGATTATGACCTGAGCCAAAGTTGGATGCTTAACCAAATGAGCCACCCAGGTGTTCCTGACCTGTGTTTTTGTTAGAGACCATCATCTTCTCAGTTACCCAGGTTCCTTGGCCTCTCACCTTTTTGTCTGATCGTCCTTAGACCAGCTTTCTTTTCAAATATGCTATTTATAGTTAATACTGTATCTCTGCTACTAGTCTATCAATTGTTTGATTACTTATACAAATATGTAGCGCTCTAACATCTTGCATGTACTTTGTTTAAAAATTCAGGGGCGCCAGGGTGGCGCAGTCGGTTAAGCGTCCGACTTCAGCCAGGTCACGATCTCGCGGTCCGTGAGTTCGAGCCCCGCGTCAGGCTCTGGGCTGATGGCTCGGAGCCTGGAGCCTGTTTCCGATTCTGTGTCTCCCTCTCTCTCTGCCCCTTCCCCCGTTCATGCTCTGTCTCTCTCTGTCCCAAAAATAAATAAACGTTGAAAAAAAAAATTAAAAAAAAAAAAATTCAGTAAATGTTGGAGCACCTGGGTGACTCGGTCAGTTAAGCATCTGACTTCAGCTCAGGTCATGATCTCACGGTCTGTGAGTTCCAGCCCTGTGTCAGGCTCTGTGGTGATAGCTCACAGCCTGGAGGCTGCTTCAGATTCTGTGTTTCCATCTCTCTCTGCCCCTCCCCCCCCTCAAAATAAACAGTAAAAAAAAATTTTAATTCAATAAATGTTGATGAAACAATGAATGAACTGCCACTGAGAGAAAAATGAGGCATTTGGAGATTCACTACTACTACAGCAATAGCAAGTAACAGCCTTTGAGTTCACAGTATGAGACAGGAACTCTTCAAGTACTTTAAAAGAATTATCCTATTTTATAGAAAGGTTAAGTAACTTGCCCAAAATTTTACTGCCTGTAAGTGTCAAGATCTGAACATGGCACTTGAGTTACAGGTGTCTGTAAAGTTCAAAAGCTTATCAGGTTAGGAAAAGATTTTTTGAAGACTGGAAGAGTTCTTAGAAAGGAGAGAGCAAAGTATTAAAGGAGAGAGAGTTAAGAATAACAAATTCGGGGGGTGCCTGGCTCAGTTGGTTAAACATCAACTCTTGATTTTGGCTCAGGCCATGATCTCACAGTTTGTGAGATCAAGCCCTGTGTCAGGCTCTGCGCTGACAACAGGGTGGAGCCAGTTGGGATTCTCTCTCCCTCTCTCTGCCCACTGCGCCCCCCCCACCCCAGGTCTTGCTCTCTCTCTCCCTCTCAAAATAAATAAACATTAAAAGGAAGAAAAACAAATTTGTGAGAATGCTCTAAAAGGTCCCAGTGTCTAGTAAAACCTAGAACATCCAAGAACACGCCACCAAAGAAGAGTGAAGGGGTGACACCTCTATGTCCAGCAGAGCTGTCATCTGCAGAGGTTTTTGCCTGCCTATTTCTATTTCCTCTTCACTCACCTGAGCACAAGCCTTTGGCCAGCTCTCTCGTCACCATCCAGGGCTCTTTCCCTTGTTCCAATAATAATATCACACTTGGCTTAGAAAAGCAAAGTCCTGCATATATGAAAAGAAACAATTTGGTCATGCTGTGATATCCCAGAACTCATAACCAATCCTTTGATTAACGGGGAAGAGGGAGCTTACAGTAAGTTGGAGACAAATGTGTAAAGACATGTGTTCAAAGTACAGGAAAGCTAAAGCTTCCAAAACAGATTAATAATAGACCCATCCACTGGCAATTCCACAAATATTAAACCATTACTTTGGCACAGCAACAGATATTCTGCCAAGCACTGAGGATGCTATCCAAAGATTCATAATGGTGGTAGCAAAGAGGGCCTTATGAGTAGAAACTCAATTTTGGAAGAAATATTCTTACCTAGGGACACCAAGATCCTATAATTCTCCAACATCACATTACTGTACAGATGCCTTTGAGAAGAATTTAGACAATCCCACTCTTCTCTGGAGAAGTCTACAGCCACATCTCTGAAGGTCACCAACTCCTGAAATGAAATCAAAAAATGAAGTGAAATAAGTTCATCTGTTAACATACTCACTTTATTTGTTCTGCCCCAAGCATACTGGGCTCTCCTTTATATTACATCCTCAACTATATGTCAAGCATGTTCCCCCTCAGGCCTTTTGTACTTCTCAGATCGTTCTGTATAAAAATAGCAAACTCTTACCCCTGTTCCCCATTTCCTAGCCCTCCTTTATTGTTCTCCATGGCACTTAATTATTTTGTTATTGTCTGCCCCAACCTCCACTGACATGTGAAGTCCATAAGGGTAGAGTACATTTTTGCTTTGCTCACTGCTATATCCCAAGTTATAGAAGAGTATTTGGCACACATGAGGCATTCAAATATTTGCTGGATAAATTGAATTAATGAAAGAATGGTTTGAAAAGTTGAAGAAACTATGAAAGGATCAAAAATGAGACCAGAAAGTGCTTGCTATATCTCTGAAAATTGTGCTAGACCAAGCAGAGAAAATCACCAGTTCCATTAAAATTCAAATACTTTGGGGTGCCTGGGTGGCTCAGTCAGTTAGGTGTCTGACTTCGGCTCAGGTCATGATCTCACGGTTCATGAGTTTGAGCCCTGCATTGGGTTCTGTGCTGACAGCTCAGAGCCTGGAGCTTGCTTCGGATTCTGTGTCTCCCTCTCTCTCTGCCCCTCCCCTGCTCACACTCTGTCCCTCTCTCAAAAATACATAAACATTAAAAAAAAATTTTTTTTTATCGAAGGAAACAATCAGCAAAACTAAAAGGCAACCAATAGAATGGGAGAACATATTTGCAAACGACATATCAGATAAAGGGTTAGTACCCAAAATCTATAAAGAACTTATCAAACTCAACATCCAAAAAACAAATAATCCAGTGAAGAAATGGGCAGAAGACATGAATAGGCACTTCTCCAAAGAAGACATCCAGATGGCCAACCAACACATGAAAAAGTGCTC